GGGGGGATTTTGACAAACTACAAAGTTGAATGACAGCAATGAAATACTGTGCAGCCTCTCTATAACGACCTTCGATATATATTACATCCTCTGTATAGCGACATGGTGCCCAGGTCCCGATTTTTTCCTTATTATATATTATATATCATTAGTAATAATTTTGGTTGCCTCTCTATAAGGACAACTCTATATAACAACTTTTTTTTTCTGGTTCCGACGATGTCGTTATAGCGAGGCTGCTCAGTAGTCTGCAGGTCCATTGTCCCATCAGCACAAACTCACTCTGATATCCTTTCATGTTTGCCATCTTTTCATGACATCCTGCATTCTCTATGATTACATCCACATCATAAATTACTAAAAACTAGTATTTATGACCATAGTATAAATCAGTGTTTGTCTGTTTATGAATGAAATACCATACACTGGTGACTACTGACAAAGGCAAGCATTGTGAATAAACCAAACTTGATAAGAAGGACAGGAGTTTGGTCTATTTTTTTATTCAACAATTCACAACCTTGAACTTTGACCTCCCATCATTCTCACTAGGTGGATTGTTTGTAGAAAGAAATGCATCTAGCATCAGCAGCATTAGATAGATAAAGATGTGCGTGTAACCTTCTCTAACATAATTAATTATGGCCAGGGGTCACCGGACCACGGCCTGTAAAGTCAATTCGTCTGGCCTGATGCCATGCCACCATGTCCGTCGGACATCTTTTTCTTTACTTTTTTAACACTTTGCGGTCACTTGGCGCAATAATGCAACGGTGAAAATGATCCGTCCCTGTCACCTGGCGCAGTTCTGCATCAGGTCCAAGAAGTCCATTGTCGTCACTCTCCTGGCTGGGTGACCAGATGGCGTATTTTATACTGCTGGCTGTGTGACTGCAAAGTAAAGTGTTAAGCAGAAGAGCAATTTAATATCTACAGCATTTTTTTTTCCCCCACTTCCCACTCTTGATTTTATATTTCAATGTACCTACTTCAGGAAAAAAGACACCTGTAGAGGAAATGAGGGAAGATATCATCACTTGAGTCATTGTGACTATAACGATTTGTCGACATTTTATGTCTCATTTATTTCTGTACAATCATATAGGCAAACAGGACCCACAAGCAATAGTCATATTCTTAACACATGTGCAGATTCGTCGTATAAAACTAAATCTTATCACATTTGGGCCACAGTGCAATTATACTCACACCATCGGTACCGTACAAATTTCTCAAAAGTTATTTACAGAGCTGAAAGAAATTCAACATGACAACACACAAGTACATATATATATATATAATGTATGGTATTGTGAAAGCAAATACGTGTAGGAACGTGTAGTAATCTTTTCACTGCTGTCGTAAGCAATCCACTTGACTTAATAAATCCAAATTTTGAGAATTTTAGATTTTGACACCCTCCCAAAGATGCACCTTTCAACTTCACCAAAATTCAGTTTTATGCTATATAGTCAAAGCTTACAATTTTCTTGTTTTTCACGATTCCTGATAAGAACAACGCCACAAGAACTAGTTTTTTGTCTCTGGTGTAAAAAGTACCGGTACCTAAATGGACCTGAGTGGATTGCTTGTGACGTCATGTGATATGGGGGCGGCAGGATGCATTTTTGAGGCTGGTGATTTTTTCCACTGCTGAAATCAAATTTTTAACATTCGTTCCAATCTTCCTCCCTATCCACCACCCAAATTTTCTTTTCTTTTTAGAAGTCTTGATACCTTACTCGACATAATTTAGGTCCTTTAAAAGGAAGGCAACTGGTCCCTTATCAGGATACCACACAACAACAACAAAAATTGTCTAGCGTGCACATAGAGTGGAATGTGCACATAGTAAAATGGGAACATACTGAGTCTGAGCAGATGTTCAAGTCCCGAATTTTTTTCTTTTGTACATGCATGTTATATTCTCTGTACTTTAAACATGTACATAGGAAAAATTAAAACACAAAAATATTTCCATGTTTCACCAATTTTGCTATCTATGTGCTTGCTAAACTACATTTATTCCATGAAGAATAAGTAGAAATGATTCGAGTCTGACCTTGAACTTACCCATTAAAGACCAAGTACATAATTGCAATAACACATACCCCCCCCTTCTATCTCCAATAACAAACTCATTTATACAACAAACCATCAAGACACATCAATATTTTGACTAATCTAAGCACCACAGCACAGGCTTTTTTTATATCTTCCAGCAACATAAAAAAGTCTGAAAATAGTAATAATAACAATATATGATGACTGAACTTTTACCATGAAACTAGTAAAATAAAGAAAACTGAACTTTCTCCACTGGTCTGTTTAAACAAGCACAGAGACAGAAATCTTCAACATAAAAAAGGTATGATGATACAGGCATGACTTCCCTTCCAACACAATATGAACTAAACACGCAGGAACAATGCTTTAATATAAATTTCCAAAACTAGAAACACAAAATAAAAATTGGTCTCATCTTGGCAAACTTTAAGGAACGTATCACAAGCATATATATATATATATATGACGACAAGAAATAGTGGAAAAGCAAGTAGGCCACCTTGCAACATTCAATTTTCAAAACAAAATTTGATTTACTGACTATCAGACATACGTATACGTGCATACATCATCAGCATGGTGAGCAAATGTTGTAGATCTACAAGCTTGGTTTTAGGAAAATAGAACACTGGCAAAACTGTAGACAAAATATAATACATGCACAAAAAACCGAGACGACACTGTCCTGCAAGTAAACTGCAATTGCTGAATGAAAAGCTCTCTTCCCTTCCAACTCTAGGTTTATCATCACCAGTGGTTGGCGGGTGCTCTGGTGTAGTTTGCTCCTTCTTTCCTATTATCAAACATCTGTCATCCTGATCTCTCCTCTTTTTTTTGTGGCTGTTAGTCTCTTGTTTAAACGCCTCTAATCATCATCATTTATATATGACATTGTGTTGCAAGTGCGGTAAAACTCTTACTAAAACGTTTTTTAAAATACGGTTTACCTTGTCAAATGGTACACTCTCCTCAGCTCTACCTTGTCTTCTTTTTTTTTGTCAGAAAAGATAAATGCAACACAGTAACAAAAGACGTGATCTTCTGTGAGAATAACAGCTTTCTGTTCGAAATATTGAACAAAGAATTCCGATAAGACTCCTAAAAAATAAAGAACTTCATACTAGTAACTTTTATTTCAGCCAGGAATGCATGAGAGTCATGAGACTTTGGGGTGTTTATTTTTGTTGTTGTTATTATAGTAGAGGGTTTTGCAGCGCTCGCAACTGCATAACGTCATATGATGAGCGTCAAGGGTTGTTGTTGTTGTGTGTGTGTGTGTGTGGTAGCCTATCCGCGAAATGTTCGGAGCCCCGAAGAGTGTGCTCTTCGCCAGGGCCACCGCCTCCCTTGAGTAGTGGGTGAGGCAGTCCAACCTCCCTGAATCCCCCCCGAAGAGATGCCACCGCCGGGCCTCCGTGGCGGGGCATCTCTGCAGCCAGTGCTCCAAATCTTGGGGCTCCTCTGTGCACAATGGACATATTGGGTCCGATGTTTTGTCTATTCTATTTTTGTAGGCCCGAAGCCCAGAGAAATGACCGGTCCTGATTTTTGCCAGTAATGACTGGTCACTGCGGGACATAATAAGAGCCTCTCGTTTTAAGGAAAATACCCTGTATACTTCCTTCGTCCGCGTGTGGCATATTGGGGGGTTGTTGTTTACTTAAACGAGAATGGCAAATTTAAATTGGGAATCTGGCGCTCATGTGACCTTTTGCACTTGCGAGTGCCGTAAAACCTCTACTAAAACAAAACAAATTAGGAATTGTATAGTAACACTGTTTCGCAATAGGCGTGAAGAATAAATAATAAAATAATGTTGACCTGATCATTTGCACTAAATACTTTTTTCTCCAAGCAGTAGGCCTACAACCCATACCACACTTCAGACCCACACTATTGTAAAAGTGTGACACCTAGCAGTAGCAATGTCATGCTGCCTAAAAGAATGCAAAAATTGTCTTTTTATTATCTTTTAGTTTTAGTAAATTGTCTTTTTATTATCTTTTAGTTTTAGTAAGAGTTTTACGGCACTTGCAACATAACAAGGTCATATAAGTGCCAAAGATTAGAGGTATTACAAGAGAGTAACAAACACAAAAAAAGAAGGAGGGGAGATAGAGACGATAGATTCTTTATAGGAAAGAAAGAGCAATCCATACCAGAGCACCCGCCAACCACCCACACTGATTAAGTGTTGTACAGAAAAAGATAGCTCTGTGATACCAAACATCCTCATGGAAGCATTTTCTGACTCTTCACTCAAAGCTCTTCCATTTATTCGTAAAATCTTATCGCAAAACTAATTAACGTACAAAATCAATACACCTCTATAGAGTCAATAACTAAAATATAAACATTTTAAGAAAGTCAAATCTTTGATATCAGCTATCACAAAACATCAGAGTGCATAACGTCATACACCACATTATATGATTGTTAGCTAAACAACATGTATCAAACAAATTGGGAAAAAAAATTGTCATCTACTAATCTGTTTAAGCAAATAGAGACGTTAAAAAAATCTCAATCTCCTACTAAACACGGTTGCAAAATTTTGATGATATTTTAGTGTCTACATTGTACCAAAAAAAATTGCTCAAAATTAAACTTTCAAAAACGAGTACACATATAAAAATGTCTTTTAAACACAAACATTTTGGATCATATAGACAGCACACAGTAACAGAAGCAGATTTCATACCAATAAGGAAAAAATCTTTGAATAATTTCAAATCTACAAAAAAATCCCACTCTTTTATGTGCTAAACAGGATAAAAGTAAACTTTGGCCCTTCTGAACTTATTTGACCTGGTGCCAACATCAGGCCCGGTCTCCACTCTACGAGGGGCCACGTTTAGATCGCCAAGACGTCATGCCCAAAGACGCTTTCAAGAACGGGGGGAAGGGTCGAAATTAACTATTACCCAACACAGCACTACCATACATTAAAGTTCATACAATAAATACCTCAGATTTGACAACAAAATTTCAAAAAAACAATTTCATCATTTCATTCTTTTCAACTTTTTTTTGTGTGCGTCTAAACTCCAATAAAAACATCTAAATATTTGAGGATTCATGTACTGCGAGAAACAAAATATTTAGAAGCAAAACTTGAAGAGAATTCATACCACACATACTGGCAAATTGACTGTAAAAAAATGTGTTAAATCTCATTCATATCCTAGAGTAGAGTCAGTTGCATTAAGCCCCCCCCCCCCCCCCTCTACAACATTGATATCTAAGGCAGGATATTATTATCACACAAAGCGAATCAAATCATTCATATATTATACCTAAAGCCAGTTTGCCAATACCTTATGTTCTACAATCCAGGCTTACCAACTTTTTCCAAATCTAACCACAGGCACTCAATGTTAAGACACCAAATTACACAACAACGAATAAAATTACATCGGGTGGGAACTGGTTTTGGCGCACGGTGATGTAAGAAGTAGTAGTATCCTCTCAAATTTCCAATTGCCAAAACCTGGACAGTCCCAGGAAATTCAGGGACAGTTGGCCCCCCCTGAATTTTTTAATGTAGCTCCAATCTGAGACTACGTGCCAATTCTTTACCCGGAGCACCTAGCCCTATTTCAAAGTGTCCCTATGTCAGATAACAACCAGGAGTACGTTAGTGCGGGATTGTCTCCGACGACCCGACTTTAGGGGGTGATTGCCTCTGAATCCATTTGATTTGCATGATCCACCCCACTTTAGAGCGTGATTTCCTCCTCCGACCCCACTTTAGAGCATGACTTCCTCCTCCGACACCGCTATAGTGCGCAACTGCCTCTGAACCCATTTTACTGTGCGATTGCCTCCAACCCCACTTTGGCGCACAATTTTCTCCGACCCCACTTTAGTGCGCAATTGCATCAAACCCTACTTAAGAGTGCGATGGACTCCGACGACCCCACTTTAACGTGCAATTGCCTCCTAATCCATTTTAGTGCACAATTGCCTCTGACCCCACTTTAGCGCACGCAATTGCCTCCATCTACCCCACTTTTACACACGATTGTCTCTAAATCCACTTTAGCACACAATTGCCTCTGTCTACCCTATTTTAGCGCACAATAGCCTCCGAAGGCCCCCACGCTAGCGGCCGCTTGCCTCCGACTCCACTTTCACCATCTCACGCAGCTGGTAGCGCGGTCGTTTGTCGGCGGGGTCCACGTCGAGCACTTCAGGGCTCTCCACCGTCAGCCTCTTCTGGGGGTCTCGCACCACGACGGAGTACTGGGCCGTCTGAGGAGGCCCGCTCGGCTGACTCGACATCACCACGTGAGACACGCCAGTTTCTTCTTTCACTCCGGCCTGCGGACAGATAGACAGACTTTAGCTTTAGTAAGAGTTTTGTGGCACTTGCAATACAGGTCATATAAGTGCAGAAGTTTAGAGGTTTTGCAAGAGTGTAACAAACATAGAAAAGGAGGAGGAGAGATCAGGACGATAGATGTTTGATAGAAAAGCAGGAGCAAACCATACCAGAGCACCCGCCAACCTCCCACCAAAATGAACACTGCAGTAACGTACCCGCACCAGCCTGGGAGAGTTACTGTTCCTGACCATTGGAGAGCCGGCAGACGACATCTGGACCTGAACGCCCCCCGGAGGACCCGACGAGTTCTGCCGACTCAAGTTAAGGCTGCCCAGCTGTGGGGAGGTCGCGCTCTGTGAGCTGTTGCCGTTGAACTCCGTCTTGGGAACCACAGCGTTAGCCTTCAGCTGGAGGATTGAACCGTTGGCCTTCTGGACCTGGTCAACAACAGGTGGAGATGGAAGAAACATTTCAGTTGTCATTGAAGTCTTTTACACCCCGATCAACACAATTTAAATAATTGAGTTTTAGTTTTAGTAAAAGTGTTACGGCACTTGCAGCACAATAAGGTCATAAAAGTGCCGAAGATTAGAGGTGTTACAAGAGAGTAACAAACACAAAAAAGAAGGAGGAGAGATCAGGATGAAAGATGTTTAATAGGAAAGAAGGAGTAAACCACACCAGAGCACCCGCCAACCGCCTGTTAAATAATTGAGAAGGTGGCCTGCATAAGCCCTACCTGTCAGCCCCAATCCCAGCAGAGAGAGATATGGAAGAGCATCCCAGAAGACTGAATGAAATACTCAATACAAAACTGCATTTGTGAATCAAAACTCATATTTCCAGTATGTGAGGTTAAAGAACCTAACCGTTACACCACAGACACCGATTGAAACGGAAGACCAACAAGAGGATTAAAATTGGCTTAGAACGCTATCAGATGATTGAACCATGTACCCTGGGAACCTGATCGAGGAGAAGAAAAAGAAGAGGAACACACAGATCGGTTGCGATGCAGTCTGCACATTTACTGTCAATGTTTCATACATCTCACAAACAAACTTTCTATCTTTTTAAACAGCCAGCTGCCTTGACCCAGCCTGAAGGGACTAATGTAAGCTGCATAGGAGACAACAAAATACCAACAAGAAAACAGAATACTTTGTCCAACATCTTCCCCATGTGAGAGTCATTCTCCAATCTTCTTTTTGCAAGATGAAAGACCTACTGAATACAGTACAGTAATTAGCACTAATTTTCGTAATCTTCACCAAAACAAAAGGAAAAGAAGAGCTTCTTTTTACCTCTGCGTCGATTCGAGCAAACTGCCAGTGCCATTTGGCGTTGTAGAGGAACTGCCGCTGGTCGTAGCGGTTGTCGTCGGGGCTGTACGACTCGCAGTGGTAGGACGGCGTCAGCACTGTCATCTTGTGGCGGTTGACAGCGTAGCAGCGGAAGAAATGTTTCACTTTGTCTGCAATCTGTAGGAGGGGAAAAAAAACATGTTAAAAAATCTGGCTGTTGTCAAGAGAGCTGGAACATAATAACTTGGGATAAAAGAAATGTCAATATTTTAGTCAGAAATTAACTTGGACTTGAGAGATAAAATGTAATGTTCAAAAATTATTTACTTCATTGGAAATTTTGTGCCTCAGCAATGGTTTATCTGTTTGCTGTTTGTTTGAGCAAAGAGAAGCACATCTAAACAACAACGGTCATTTAGTGCTCGGAAAAAAGCAACACAGTCAAACAGAAAGAAATATAAGACAGGTAGAAAAGAATTAGGACATACTACCAGTGGCACCCTCAAACCACCCGTCTTCACCAACAGCTGGACATACCTGATCAGGCGGGCACTCGTCGCTGCTGATGTGGAGCAGTTTACAGAACATGCTGTACGGACCACAGAAGTTTTGCTTCCTAAGTTTCCCGTACACGGAGAGTTCGTCGTACGTCATGCCCATGTCTTCCTGTTGGAGAGAAGCCAGAAATTCCTTTAGATGGAAGGTCAAAGTGAAAAAAATCAAACAGTAATTTACCTTTCCATGGAAGGTCAAAGTGTAATTTACCTTTCCATGGAAGGTCAAAGTGTAAAAGTTCAAACAATAATTTACCTTTCCATGGAAGGTCAAAGTGTAAAAGTTCAAACAATAATTTACCTTTCCATGGAAGGTCAAAGTGTAAAAGTTCAAACAATAATTTACCTTTCCATGGAAGGTCAAAGTATGAAAGGAAGGTCAAAGTGTATAGTTCCAAAAATAATTTTCATTTTGAAAGCCAAAAAAAAGTCAAAGTTAACACAACAGTTCACCATTTCATTATATTCCTTCCAAAAGAAAGCCAAAGAGACTTCACAGTTACTCATCTAAGCCTTCAAGTGAAACAGACATCTTCAAACATTGGATGCTCTATTTTAAAAAACAAACAAAAAACAACATAGTATCCTTGCCTTTTCCTGTCACCCATCTCTTTATATCTTCTAAGTGAGTTATTCTTGATCTACCGCTGCTCCTTTTACCTTCTATTTTTGGAATGAGAGCAAGAAGTGCAAGGCCTTTGTGCCAATTCAGGTGTCCTAGGAACAGTATGTCTCTCCTTCAGAATACCAGATCATACTATTTTACCATCGAAAATCCTTCAATGGACATACATTGTTACTACCTAGGCCATGGATACATGTATACTTATTCCACTCACATCTTCTCTTAGCATTGACTGCCAATCACTTATTTCGGATAAGGCGATTTGAAAAAACGTAAGTTAAATAAATTATCTTTTCCCATTAACAATTACAATTTTTGTTTGTGCCTGTTTACCTCATCTGTCTGTGCTATCCTCCCCTCCTCTAGAGGCTCCAGCTCAGCGGTCGGGGGAGCATTGTAGATTCTGACGCAAAACAAGAACAAAAGGGTTAAAAAGTAGTACAGGTAGTCAGGGGTAAGAGGAGCAATTGTTTTGTAGATTCTGACACCAAAAAAAAAGAACAAAAGGGTTAAAAAATTGTACAGTAGTAATAGGTAAGGGGAGCATTTGGTTAGTAGATTCTGACACAAAATAAAAAACACAAAGGTAAAAATATAGTCAGCAGTCATGGGTAAGGGGAGCCTTTGTGATGTAGATTCTGACACAAATCAAGAACACTAGGGTAACAAGTAGTCCAGTAATCAGGGATAAGGGTGTTTTTGTTCCATAGATTCTTTTAAAAAATAACAACGCACAAGTTAAAACGTAGTTAAATATTCTGGGGCCTCAGGCCTGAAATGAAGCATGAACGAAAGGGTTAAAAAGTAGCAACAAGGAAAGTTTTCATTTTTAAAAGGTGTTTCAAAGGCTTGGGTTCTTGTAAATAGACCAGTCTACCCAACCCACCAGTCATTCTATATTTGAAACACTAATCACAACTAGTATATTCTCTTCCTGATGTGATCATATCTGATCTGATCATATTATAATCAAGTAGAACTGACCAATCAAAAAAATCATAGTAATTGTAATGTCATACAGCCACATTAACATAATCAAAATTGTGTAGGAAGCAGGCTGCTTAGACCCTACCTGTAAGGACTGCCCCATGCTGAGTGGGAAGTAACATCCCAGCACACATGAGAATTGAACTAATGTCTTCTGTGTGCAACAACAAAGAGCCTAACCCTTACACCTCAGATGCTGATAAATGTGAATGCAACTTATTGAACAAATTAGCCCAAGAACAAATTTATAGCTCAAGAACACATCTTTAGCCAAGAACAAATCTTTAGCCCAAGGACAAATTTATAGCTCAAGAACACATCTTTAGCCAAGAACAAATCTTTAGCCCAAGGACAAATTTATAGCTCAAGAACACATCTTTAGCCAAGAACAAATCTTTAGCCCAAGAACAAATTTATAGCTCAAGAACACATCTTTAGCAAAGAACAAATCTTTAGCCCAAGAACAAATCTTATGCTCCAAGAACAAATTTTTGTCTCAAGAACACATCTTTAGCCAAGAAGAAATCTTTAGCCCAAGAAGAAATCTGTAGCCCAAGAAGAAATCTTTAGCCCAAGAACAAATTTTTGTCCCAAGAACAAATCTTTAGCCCAAAAACAAATTTTTGTCCCAAGAACAAATCTTTAGCCCAAGAACAAATTTTTGTCCCAAGAACAAATCTTTAGCCAAGAACAAATTTTTGGCTCAAGAACAAATCTTTAGCCAAGAACAAATCTTTGTTCCAAGAACAAATCTTTAGCTAAGAACAAATTAGCTCAGGGACAACAATGTTGATCTTACTTATCGAGAGCTTGGTATCTGTACTTCTGCGAGCAGTGCTGTATAAAGCGACGCAGGTCTGTCTTCGAGATGCCCCCGATGGGATTGACGTCTGCGCTGGAACAGTCGTACTTGGTCATATAACCTCGCAGGCTGCGGATGGAAACCATAGGGTATAAGATATAGGTCTCAGTGCATGGGATGTGTAAAGCACATTATTATCATCATTGCCTTTCTCAACCTGCACCAGGGTATTTTTTTGTTTTGGTAAGTGTTTTTACTGCGCTCGCAACTGCATAAGGTCATATGAGCGCGCGGGACACATCTAATATTTTCAGTTGGTAGGAAATTTTGAACTTTGCCCGGGTGGCGGCCGAAGCCTACTCCTATCGATTTTAGACCACTAAGGGATCTTTAACGTGCGCAACTTGCACACGGGCCCTCCGAGATTTTTCGCCCTTGTCCGAGAAGGCTAGGTGTAGATATTTCCTACCAGAAGATCAGGGGTGTGGCAGAAAGACAGCAGTTAGGAGGAGCCAAGGAGTAGCAGTAGAAAGGCTGCAAAAAGAGTCAGGAGCCCAGAGGAGGGGGCAAAGGAGGTGAGGGGGATGGGGGCAGAAAGTGGAATCGAAAGCAGACAACAGAACATTGCTAGAGAGCAGGAAAGGAGGTGAAAGGAGACAATTTTAGAGAAGAAAATTTTTCGGTCCCTACCCGGATTCGAACCCGGGACCTTTGAATGAGAGGCCAACACCTTAACCTCTAGGCCACGAGAGCCCCCCGCACCAGGTTATAGGCCACAAACAAACACTAAAGCACATTATTATACATGCCATGAAATAATCAACAGCATTATTTTTTTTTCTTAAAGTTTGGTAAAAAGATACCCTTTATTCAGAAAAATGAAGGATTTGTATAAAAGAAGAACAAAGTTTATTCTTATCTCAGTCAGACAGCGACCAGACCACCCTCAGGTGTGTGAGTGGGGTCTGAATTTGAGTAAGAGTTTTACAGCACTTGCAACACAATTAGGTCCTACAAGTGCAGAAGACAAGAGGTGTTACTTGAGAGTAACAACATACAACAACAACAACAACAAAAAAAGAGAGAGAGACAAGGATGACAGATGATTGATAGGAGGGACAAAGCAAACCACACCAGAGCACCTGCCAGCCACCCACTCAGGTCTGCTTCCAGATTAACAGGGCTGGTTTCCACATCCCCACAAAATAATTTTTTTCATTAGATTCTATGCTTTTTTTTTTTCTTTTTGTGTGTTTCTGAAACTCCTGTGAAATGCTCAGACAGTTCTGCACATTCCCAGTGACTGACCTCAAGTGACAAAATCATCATTGACTGTTTAAAAAAGGATGGTACAATTGTGACATCTAGCTAATACGGGATGCCCACTACAGCTGGATCAGGCCGATCGCCCGACTCGATCGCCTGAAACTAAAAACAAACATGATTGTTTTTGAGGCGATCGGCCGATCCTTGCCGTAGTGGGCACCCCGTATAACCCTATTACTAGAAAATAAAACACTTACCACTAAATCATTCCTTACAGGCAAAAAATTGCATCTAGTGCCAAAAAAGACAACAATTGTTAAAAATATATAACAAATTATAAAACTGCAATATGAATTTACATACTACACTGAATTCAAAATAGTAATTATTTTACTGATAATAAGAAGCCAAAACTTTCAATTGTGATTTTCTCAAAACAAAAGGTAATGAGCCATAAGACATTCTTGTCTTCATGGGTTTGAAATTGAAATGTTCTTCGGATTCATTTTTTTTTTTACCTTTCATCAACATTGGCAGAGCCAAGCACCAGGAGACCTCCAGACTTCCCACGAGCCCACAGGCTGAGCTGGGCAAACAAATAGGACAGGACCATCCTCACTCGGGCCTGAAAAACAACGACATCAAAACAGACATCAAAATAGCAACATTTTAAAAAAACGACATCAAAACTAACAACATCAAAAACGATATAAAATATATATAGCAACATCAAAACGCACATCAAAATAACAATGTAAAAAAGCAGCATCAAAACATACATCAAATACATGGAAAGTAAACATTTTGGCTGTGGGGTATGGTGCGAGTTAAACGCCCTGATCTAAAATCTAACCTTTCTTTGTCTCAAAGATAACAATTTGGCTCCGATTCTTCCCCGTCCAAGACCTTGAACTCCCTCTAATTATTTTGTGGAATTTATTGAAGACATATGCTACATTTTGTGCTATGGTTTTAGAGATGGGTACCTGGCCATCCACAGATTGTCAGTCTGTTAGCGTTTAAGCTCTTTAATGGTACCTTGCACTACATGCATCCTGGGAAACTGAGAACATTTCTGAATGTTTGTGAGTATTCTCGGGTCTGCTGGGGTAATAAAAATTGCTATGCTATTCATTGTTAATAAGTTGTTTCCGAACTGGAGGATAGAGAATTGCATAAATGCTATCTACTATCATTCATTATTATCACATGCACCAGGTACTTACTTGTACATTCTGCATGGCTAGGTTCTCTCTCAGGCTTCCCCCGTGAGCTTTGAACTTGGGGACAACGTTGAACGTTGCAGAGAAAATCTTGAGCAGAGCTTCCACTGCAATGTCGATGACAATCCCCAGGTGGTAGCTGGGAACAAGAAATAAACTATTACAGACGAAAAGAACAAATACATGTATAAAAACACCTTAAAAATGTGTTTTAGCTTAGCCTTAGATAGAGTTTTACGGCACTTGCAGAACAATAAGTTTCATATAAGTCCCAAAGATTGGAGGTATTACAAAAAAATAACAAACACAAAAAAGAAGGAGAGGAAATAAGGATGATAGATGTTTGAAAGGAAAGAAAGCGCAAACCAAACCACAGCACCGACCGACCACTCGCGAATAAATGCATAAAACATCTAGAACTAAATCATAACCATAATCCCATGACACTCACAATTAGTGATACAACCATTACTGACACTCACAATTAGTGACGCTAACAATTAGTGAGACTAACCCCAACCCTACACCACTAATCACAACACCCACCCACCACTAGCTCATGACATGACCCACCTGCCGATCTGATCGGCCAGTTCCGCAGCGCAGTTCCTCGTGTCTGCCGAGCTGTTTGCCGAGCCCATGTAGCACGTCATGAACAGACGACTGGCCAACTCACGCGGGTCGCTGGGAATGTAGTCCGCCTGCGTCGTGATACGCTGGATGTCCGAGATGATTGTCTTATCTGGGGAGGTAATCGATGCAAGATGCATTTAGAGAAATCTGTCATCTGTAGTAAGACTATATCGTGACCTCAGTGCTTTCTTGTCGTATCTCCATTTTTATAATGGTGAAAACAGTTCATAACAATGAGTGAGCTGAAGAAAAAGTCACATTTTCAATGTTAAAGAAATGGAGATACGACAAGAAAGCACTGAAGTTGCAATATTTTGGCATTTTCCTCTTCCAGCGTATTTTCACATAAAAGTATAATAACAGGTTTATGGAATTGGCATTTGAGGAGGAAAAGTTTGTCTCTATGTCTTTCAATGAAGAAACACGAGTTTGATTCCAGTGTCAGGAGTTTTAATCAAGTACCTGGTCCGTCTGCTGGAACATTATATTATCCCTCTCAGCATGAGTTTGTCCTGACAGGCAGGGTGAAAGATTCCCCCCTCCCAAATTATCCAAATTGTGTTGAAGAAGCCGTAAAACATCTTCAATTACTTTTTAAAAAACAGTGTTAAGGAAAATTGTTAAACAAAGACATTCCCTAAAGCTATCAAGAAAAAAAAATATGACTTAGCAAACTAAAAGGACTATCGATAAGATACAGCAGTGGGTGCAGTTTGCAGATTCCTGTCATCTCATTAATTAGCCCCAAGGCGTGGAGAGGAGGAACAAAGAGACTATAGATAGTGCTACATTATTACCATGAAACTGGTTTCTAGAATATATCTTTCTAAAAGCCAATAAAAATGATGAAAGAAGAAACAAAATATTAGCCCTGCCTTTTTATACTTTTTAATTGAGCATAGCGACTCTTGATTCCTATTGAGTGAGAACCCAGAGAATGATCAACCTCAGCAGTGGATTCAGAACAATAAAAGGAGTAAATCTATTTCTTCTAATTACATCATGAAAGCATCGTCATCATCCGGTGCCTCCCCTACAGGCATGGGCAATCATGGACCTTCATGAAAGCATAACCTTATCAATAAAACAACACTAATAATTTTTTTTTAAAACAACAACAACAAAACAACCATAAAACAAAAAAGCCCCCCAAAATAAAAAGAAAAATGTACCTACAAATAAAAAAAGGTTAAAGAAAAAAAAAAAAAAAACAGCTCACTTCCGGCCTGCGCGGCGTCGCAGATCAGGTGACACATGGAGGCCACGACACAGGCCGTGCTGGAGCTGTCGATGCCGCCGCTCAGAGGCAGGAAGTAGCCACCCTGACCGCTGCGTCGGAGGTAGTCCCATAGCCAACATGCCGGGCCCAGCCTGCGGGGAGAACAGGTCAACAAATTTTACTTTACGCAAAGATATCGGGTTTAGTGGGTGTCTTCACTACACTATGATAACACGCAGTCTTTACAGTAATAGTAAAGTATAGC